ATCCATGTCAGTGTTATCAAAAGGGTGCATCACAAAAATCGTCAACACGTTTGATGAATTTGAATTGTTCATTCGAAAACTTAAAGGATTTATCAAGGATTGTTGACATACATAACAGCCATGATGTAAACACTGAGTCCGCTATCAAGGGTTGTTGACATACATAACAGCCATGATGTAAACAATGAGTCCGCTATCAAGCGTTATTGACATACATAACAGCCATGATGTAAACAATGAGTTCGCTATCGAGGGTTGTTGACATATATAACAGCCATGATGTAAACAACGAGTCCGCTATCAAGCGTTATTGACATACATAACAGCCATGATGTAAACAATGAGTCCGCTATCAAGGGTTGTTGACATACATAACAGCCATAATGTAAACAATGAGTCCGCTATCAAGGGTTGTTGACATACATAACAGCCATGATGTAAACAATGAGTCCGCTATCATGGGTTGTTGACATACATAACAGCCAATATGTAAACAATGAGTCCGCTATCAAGGGTTGTTGACATACATAACAGCCATGATGTAAGCAATGAGTCCGCTATCAAAAGTTGTTGACATACATATCAGTCATGATGTAAACAATGAGTCCGCTATCAAGGGTTGTTGACATATATAACAGCCATGATGTAAGCAATGAGTCCGCTATCAAAAGTTGTTGACATACATAACAGCCATGATGTAAACAATGAGTCCGCTATCAAGCGTTATTGACATACATAACAGCCATGATGTAAACAATGAGTTCGCTATCGAGGGTTGTTGACATATATAACAGCCATGATGTAAACAATGAGTCCGCTATCAAGCGTTATTGACATACATAACAGCCATGATGTAAACAATGAGTCCGCTATCAAGGGTTGTTGACATATATAACAGCCATAATGTAAACAATGAGTCCGCTATCAAGGGTTGTTGACATACATAACAGCCATGATGTAAACAATGAGTCCGCTATCATGGGTTGTTGACATACATAACAGCCATGATGTAAACAATGAGTCCGCTATCAAGGGTTGTTGACATACATAACAGCCATGATGTAAACAATGAGTCCGCTATCATGGGTTGTTGACATACATAACAGCCATGATGTAAACAATGAGTCCGCTATCAAGGGTTGTTGACATATATAACAGCCATGATGTAAGCAATGAGTCCGCTATCAAAAGTTGTTGACATACATATCAGTCATGATGTAAACAATGAGTCCGCTATCAAGGGTTGTTGACATATATAACAGCCATAATGTAAACAATGAGTCCGCTATCAAAGGTTGTTGACATACATAACAGCCATGATGTAAACAATGAGTCCGCTATCATGGGTTGTTGACATACATAACAGCCATGATGTAAACAATGAGTCCGCTATCAAGGGTTGTTGACATACATAACAGCCATGATGTAAACAAAGAGTCCGATATATGGATAGTGTTGCCTGTATATGATAAGTTACACAATACAATCTCCATGGTTAAAATATCAAGAACATTTTGTCACACTGAAGCGTGGAAAAACATATGGATGAGATCACAGGGATTCGGCACGAATCCCCGACCCACGGTCCATATATGTGTATTATAGTGATAAGGACTTAACTCATAAGAAGGAAATATTGGGCCTATACTATATATGTTTTCAATGATTTTTTTATATTCCAGGGGTTGCTGTCTGCATTCAGTTCTTCGTAACACATACATTAACTTGAAGAAAACTGTTTTATCTTTCCAATGAGTGTTTCACCCCGAATGAACGAGATTGATCAAGTAGACACCAAGTTATAATCTGATGATAATAATTATTCGGAAATAGATGTAGAAATGGCTAGGCAGACAATTCCCTGTTCGGTTGAATTATTGGTCTCTAATGTGTACCTCAACAACTATGCCGAAATCGCAAAATCTACGATTATGGTGGTATACAGTACCTATGACCTTGTGGTGGTATACAGTACCTATGACCTTGTGGTGGTATACAGTACTTATGACCTTGTGCTGGTATACAGTGCTGATGACCTTGTGGTGGTATACAGTATCTATGACCTTGTGGTGGTATACAGTACTTATGACCTTGTGGTGGTATACAGTACCTATGACCTTGTGGTGGTATACAGTACTTATGACCTTGTGGTGGTATACAGTATCTATGACCTTGTGGTGGTATACAGTACCTATGACCTTGTGGTGGTATACAGTACTTATGACCTTGTGGTGGTATACAGTACTTATGACCTTGTAGTGGTATACAGTACTTATGACCTTGTGCTGGTATACAGTACCTATGACCTTGTGGTGGTATACAGTACATATGACCTTGTGGTGGTATACAGTTGCTATGACCTTGTGTTGGTATACAGTACATATGACCTTGTGGTGGTATACAGTACATATGACCTTGTGGTGGTATACAGTACATATGACCTTGTGGTGGTATACAGTGCTGATGACCTTGTGTTGGTATACACTACCTATGACCTTGTGGTGGGACACAGTACATATGACCTTGTGGTGGTATACAGTACATATGACCTTGTGGTGGTATACAGTTGCTATGACCTTGTGGTGGTATACAGTACCTATTACCTTGTGGTGGTATACAGTACATATGACCTTGTGGTGGTACACAGTTGCTATGACCTTGTGTTGGTATATAGTACCTATGACCTTGTGGTGGGACACAGTACCCATGACCTTGTCCACACAGCATGTCCTTTGATGTTGTCATGTTACGTATGTTGTAGTATCTCCACATTTGTAAACCATAATGTAACCTTTATGTCGTCGATCACCATGGAGTACCGCGTACTTGGTCTAGGCCCGGATCCTAAAACCCAATGTATGATTTTAATGAGTAATTTATATCTCAGAATAAAAAATCAAACTTTAATTTCAAATTTTCTTTAAAGATCTATTTCAAAGTTTTTAAAGTCTCACACTTTGAATGAATTCACCCTCGTTGACACTATTATATATGAACCGTGGGTCGGAAATCCGGGCCAAATCCCTACGGATAACATGGTGTTCTTAATGAGTGTTTATTGTCGGGAATAGATTTTCTTCAACTACCTAATGGACAATATTTAGATTTTGAACTAATTCAGTTTTAAATTCTGTATTTTGTTCCCGAACGGTTTAAACTCCCTAGCATAAGAAGGATGAGAATTGCCATACCAATGATTTCCGAGCTATAAGTTTAAGTTGTCTTGGTAAATTGTATACGTCATACTGAATTGTCGATTGCTCAAATGGAGTGAATCCTATGTCATAATATCTGATACCAAATCCGGATTACAACAATTGATGTTTTTTATTTTATTTTATTTTTGTTTATAACTTATAATACACGCTTACTTATAATTATACGACTCTATAAATCACGTATGTTGTAGTCTCCATGGCCACTACCGGTCCTTTCCACACGGAAAGTACAGAATGACAATCACGATGGTAACACACTCAGAAAAACAGAGCATAATATTTTCTTCTGGAAAATTAAAAACATGCAATATGTTAAGCAATCTTATCAAAATTCGAAGTTCAAATTAACTCCACAGCTAATTTGAACTTCGATATTTTTTTTATTAGATTCGCTTTATCGCCTTATCAACAGCCCGGGTCATTTTGAGTCTCTGGTAGTAGTCGGTGACTACCTCACTGAAAAAAGATACGGGAGGTCGCAAGTCATCCTGAGATCTTACGGTAAAGTGTCTCGGCCAAGGACACAACCACGTTAGCACTGACTGGTCCGTTTCTCCCTGAGAAACACAAACCACAACTGGTAGTGATCGTCGTGGATGTCAAATTGCCGTGTACATGTTATGAAATTTCAATATGGTTGCAGTATAAAAGCGCCATTTAATATTCCCAATATTTGTGCACCTTCATGGACACTATCTTTATTTTTCCTATTTTGCCTTCAGATGGCTCTAGCAATGTCACTTCAGGTACCGATGGATTTTATCTCATTATCAAATATTTACAATTTTAACTTCGCTTAAAGACATGCTGAATCGTTCTTTGCGAGTTGTCTCCCTTGTCACGATCACATCAAAATATCGATACCCCGTCCATAGCAACAAGTATTCAAGACGCGAGCGGTCGACTCATTAAATAGTACAATATTCACCTCGCGTTTTAAATCATTCCGCGTGAAAGCATCAATTCAATTTCCCATCAGGGAAAAATGCTATATCGTGTCGATTTTTTTTCTGCGAGATATTAAATCGATGCCATTTGCTTTGAACTACCTATAACACATCAGTTCTGTTTATTATTAGAGTTCACTGTACATACACCGGTCGTGACCAGTGATCAGCGATCACCTCTGTCAGAGTAATGGGATCGTCCGGGTTTTAATCAGGTATTTAAAGGTACATTGGTAGGTATAAGCCTACCTGAATATACAGGTGTTAAAAGTTGTACCACTACCTGTACAAAGTCTACCTGGGGTATTTTGAAAAGTAAATGTAAATATCAACCGGAGACCTATAGGGTTGTGTACTCTTGGGTTGGTGGCATAATTCTGATATTTTGTGATCTGACCAGTGGGATATATGGAAAATTATTTTACGAGTGATATTATGTCTTCAAGTCTGAACCACACGACACGAGGATAATGTGACAAATATCCACGGTAGGAGGTGTATATATTATATATACGTATATTATATGTTGGAGATTGTGTTTCTATGTGTACTGAATTTGTTCTAGGCTTAAGATATTCTTCAATGTTCCGTGGTGCTGTTTGATATCACATTGATTTGGCGGTGGAATGCACATTATAACACGAACTGGATAAAGTATTACATATTGCGTCGGACTGTAGGGCACTGAATCGAGTATTCAATATTGTGTCGTATCTTAGAATGATACTATAGTATACCGCATTGTGGTATTGGTTTGCTGTTGGGGAACACGAGAGAAATATTTGTTGAAATGTTGTGAACCATCACGGTGGGACGTATACAGAAAGAGACAAAAATGGGGTCAGGAGGAAGTAAAAAAGAGGAAAACAAACAAACAACTCCATCGAAAAAGTCAACGACAAAAACGTTGATGACAAACACTGAAAATGATAACAGAACAACTTCGTTTCAGAAACAAAATTCCGTGAACGAAATTCAATATCCTAACAACAATAGGACACAATTTGACAATAACCAAACATTTCAAAATAACAATGTCCAGAAATCTGTGATGTCACCTCGATCACAGAGGAACAAAAACGAAGATATTGACGATGTTTTAAATCTGGATTCCGAATGGACCTCCAAGAACACACGACAGGAAGTGTACCCTTCAACCATGTCAGATCGGGGAGGGGGTCGACGAGAGGAATCCCGAAATGCTTATAACAGACAAATAAATAATAGCAGAGTGATTGAAGACTACCCGGAAACATACGCCCAAAGAAATGCCAGGGAGCAATATAAACGGACAGACCTTCTTAGACAGAAAACAATATACAGAGATCCAAAGGAATGGGACCCAGACGAACCAAAGGTATCGTATGTAATTTGGTTTAGAGATATGGCCGCTGTAGGCAGTTAGTTTATCCTGAGATTAGGAAGATTGAGAACAAACGTAGAGTACAAAATACGACCGGTTTAGTCAGGCAGCTTACAACAGGAACATAGGAATCAAGAGGAGAGAAAGGTAGATTATCATAAATAATGATATGGCCGCTGTAGGCGAACAAACGTAGAGTACAAAACATGGTCACAATGTATGGCCGGTTTAGTCAGGCAGCTTAAACAGGAATCAGTAGGAATGTGGACAAGAGTAGAGAAAGGTAGATTATCATTAATAATACGGTTTCGAGATATGGCCGCTGTAGGCAGGTAGCTTATAAAAAATGTCAGAAAGGAATTAAAATGGAACAGGCGGCAAAGTTAGATAACAAAATATGATCCAGGGATATGGCTACTTAGACAAAGACAATAGATGTAGATTTTCGGACTGAAGATAAATGGAGAAAAGCAGAGGTCATATGGGTATGATGCATAGGACTTTGTCTAGTTAAACAGGATTCTAGGTATCTAGACAGAAGCAAAGAGAAAATGAAACTTACAGGGTAACGGTATACGATCACTGTTAGAGAAAAATATAGGATTTAGACATCATATTGGAATAGTTCTTAGATTTGTGGACAGAGTCAAGGAATAAACAGAGAGGTAAATAGATAAAGGTATAGTCAGTGATGCTAACTAGAAAGTTAGCCAGTAGTTGTATCAGCTGATGCTTAAACGTTACGAAGTTTACGGTTTTAATACAAAATAATACTCAAAATGTTGATATTTCTAATGGATTTCTATCAGATGCACCCTTTTAGAGAGATAAAATTGTTTGTTTATCAGATTTGTAGCAACAGCAACTTAGTCAATACAAGACCTTAGCGAACAAAGACATGTACACAGCTCTCTTTTCACAGATGGTTAGCTGCAACAACAGCTTCCTGGGGCGAATAGTCTGAAGGGTACAAACGTCGATTTATCAATTATGCGTTATACAGAGAGTTTGCTCCGAGTCATAAAAGATGTGGGATCTATGTACATAAACAACAAGCTTATTAGATTTGCTTTAGAATATCGTTCCATTCGTGTAAAGTCTAGTTAGCTTACCGTCAGAACTTTTGATATACAAAGAACAAGTCAGTTCGATTTGTTATGCACTCTTTGTCCATTCGTGTAAAGTCTAGTTAGCTTACCGTCAGAACACTTTCACACAAGGGGTATCAGACATAAACTGAATCTCGTTATTGTCTGTAACTTAAGTATTTTTTACGTTTTATTGTGTAACATCTGATCAAGGAAAGTTATGTTTCATGACAAAATGCATTATCTGGTTGCATTCAACATCGACATTCGGAAGTTAGGGGTGGTGGATATCGTACATTTCTTGCATGAAATAAAAATGAAAAACAAAAAAACAAAAAAAAAAAAAAAAAAACAGAAAACAAAATCTTATTTAGAGATGATAACGACAATATCAATGTTACACAGCATTTGTACAGCACACAATTCAAAACCAACAGAGTATCTTGAATGTTGTTGGTTAGCTTTCATTTGCTGTGCTTAACATCTCGTTAACGAATATCCCTAGATCTATTTACGGTGTGACATGATAAACTCTGCGGCTATAAATAAGACTTCGGTTACTGACGTATGTAAATGCAGCCATGGAAACTCGTTTCACTTCTATATATATATTTATATATATTTCTGACAAACATATGATGAAATTAGACAATGTTTATTTAATAAATCATTGATGATTCTAAAAACGGACATTTTTTGTTTTTGACATTTGTTTTTTTTATCGTTATATTGGAAGATTTGAGTTGACGCACAGATTGTGATGTATCCAATTAACGTTGTGATCAATTATGCTATATCAAAGGTCAAAGGTCACGGTCAAGGTCACATGGTCAAACACTTTGGTACTACGAGAAAGGTCATGTCACAAGAAACATACATGCCAAATATAGAAGTCCTACCTCTTACATTGCAAGGTTAAAGTTGACAACAGACAAACAGACACCACAAAAATGATATGTTTCCCTCGCATCTTTTATGCTCCCGGATCGAAAGATCCAAGGGCATAAAAAAACAAAACCAGAAGCATACTTAAAACAAACGGAACGAAATAGCGAATTTACCAATACTAAATAGAAGGTTATGTGCTCTGGTTAAACATTATACTACATTACATGTGGCACCCGTCACGATGTTTGTAATAAGACAGAAATAGGATATGTTCAGGCCACCACGATCTGAAATCCAATAGATCTGCTGTCAAAAACGAATCTAGATCCTAGTCTGTGTGAAAACTGAGAAAGATCCCCCGGAGTCTTAATGAATATTACAGATCATCAGTGAAACAAATAGGACCAGTTCCATTTGGAACAATACCGTGAATATGTGTTATTTAAACCTTCGAGCTCGTCAAAATGGATTACTGTGCATTACCGTCTTTACAACGTCTTAAATTTTAAATGTTGAGGGATACGTTAACACATGTATACTACAGCTAGGCGTATGTATAGAATAAACTCGAGCAAAGTATAACGTCCTTTAGACAAATAGGTATAGGCTAGACTTCTGCCAATAACTGTGTTGGATTTTTTAATTGGCAAAGACGTTATATTCGAATAAATAAGTGATTAACTCAAAACGCGAAGCTAGATTATGGGGTATATATATTTAGTTAAGTATAAGCGCTTTCATATGTTTATATGTAAACACGTGCCTTAGAAGACTTTTAGCTAAGAGCTACACGATGAAAAACCATTTCTCGTTTTGCATTCATACAAACATCTTGTATCTCTATTTTCGATACCACATTCCTTTTAATTCTAGTACATGTATAAACATGGAAACTAATAAAGAAATTTACTTTTGCTTCGATTCGTGCTCCACATAGATTTTTTTGTGGCACCAGAGCTGTGATATATCCATTAATCTATCGATTGAGGATACGATGATATTTCAAGATTTCTTGGGTGTGTTTGTCGCCTTGTGAACAGTCAAGGTCATTTTGAGACAGGATATCCTAGTTGTAGCTGGTGAATTCCTCACTGAATAACATACGGGAGGACATTTGCATGTTGTCAGTATCAGACACAACAACGCCAACTAAAACCGATCATTATTTCAGCCTCTTGACAAACCGCCGCGGGTAGGGAGTGTCGAACCACTGACCGGGTAGGGAGTGTCGAACCACTGACCGGGTAGGGAGTGTCGAACCAATGACCGGGTAGGGAGTGTCGAACCACTGACTGGGTAGGGAGTGTCGAACCACTGATAGGGTAGGGAGTGACAACCACTGACCGGGTAGGGAGTGTCGAACACTGACAGGGTAGGGAGTGCCGAACCACTGATAGGGTAGGGAGTGTCGAACCACTGACAGGGTAGGGAGTGACAAACCACTGACCGGGTAGGGCGTGTCTAACCAATGATAGGGTAGGGAGTGTCGAACCATTGACCGGGTAGGGAGTGTCGAATCACTAACAACTGACCGGGTTGAGAGTGTCGAACCACTGACCGGGTAGGGAGTGTCGAACCATTGACCGGGTAGGGAGGGTAGGGAGTGTCGAACCATTGACCGGGTAGGGAGTATCGAACCACTGCCCAAACTATCGTGACCCCCATTTTGCCAGGAATAACGAGAGTAATTATCATGGAAATTATTACACTTAAATTCGAAATACAGAAATGCATTTTGTAGGCGATTTACGTCATATTAAAACTTAAGGTGGGGAGGGGCTCATTTCTATGCACATTATCCTAGTTTTTAATTTTGAACAATTAGAAATGTTTATGCTTTAAAATGTGCAGGTTTCTCATTATCAATTGTTTGTTTTGTTTTGTTTTTTGTTATTCAAATTTTAGATGAAAATATATGTACATATTTATATCAATTTAAAGTAAGGTATCAGATCCAACACTGAATTCCTAATTTCAGAGGTATTTATTTCCGTAGGACAACATAGATCACACCGGTTGTTAACCTGTGCAATGTATACGTGTTACATATTCTACCCTTCTTGTGTATATAAAGTATATTACATGTGTGTGACGTCTAATGTAAGGCTGTATTGTGTAAACTTACAATACTTTTGTGAACTGGTATGTTAGCCTCCTTTAGACAGAAGTAAATGCTATTGAGGTGAAACAAAAGACACATTCTCAAAAAAGGCCCTACACAAGATTAAAACAGGGTAGAGTAGTCGGTATATGTACATATTTTTAAAGGAATGAACCGTACAGTGTTGATACAAGAACGCGACCATTGTCTAAAGTACGGTATTGTAATGTAAATCTGACAATTGACCCATGTCAAATATTTTTTAGGGTACACATGAGTCGTTAGTGTTTCGGATGCATGTGAAATAGTTGTGAAAAAATGTTAACTACAATTAACGATAAAAAGGGGGTATTTTAAATAACCTATCGAACCTGTTGAAATAATGTGTAGTGTTTTTTTATATAGTGACTGGATAACAAATAACGTCCACAAAAGAAATAGGAAATCTCAAAAATATCTAAAAATCAAGCAGCTGTCAATCAAATGAAAGATCGATGGAATCAGGAGAAAAATGTGGGAAAAAGGGCGGTCTAACAAATGTCATTCAGTACAAGAATTAATCGAAGTGTTCTGAACAGGATTTCTGTGTTGCTATGTATTTAAACAATGCAAAGTTCTTGATGTGAGAATTGCCATAGCGACTACATAACCTTAAGATAGAATATTCATCATGTTATTGGACTTCGATACAACATATAATATCGAGATTCCGATAGTAGAGAGCTTGGCTATTGTATGCTTGTTTGATTTTTTTTCATTTCTTACAAATACTATAACATGTTTTACAGTGAAATCATATAAATCCCCTGGGACTCGATTTTCTTGTGTTTTCAACAAATAGCTGATTTGTGGACATTTAATTTCATGGCTAAATATAGCTCGATGAATCAACTGATGTTACCTAGAACAGTTCATTG